TTTATTTATGCATACAGAACTGGGGTACAGGCCAGAGGTGCAGGGGCAGTGAGGGGATTCACCAGAGACAGTGGGGAGCAGAACAGGCAGATATTCAAAGTACACTGCTGAGGGGAGCAGCGGGCGGGCCAGGAAAGGTCTGCCGTCCCATGTAGGTCACCTCCAGGGAAGGCGGGTATTGAACTCATGCCGAAGTGGCTTTAGCTTCTTAGTGCTGTGCTTTAACATGCTGTGCCACCAGGGAGGGCCCGACTTTCCTTCTTAATAAAGCTTTATTGCCATTTCTATCTAATCGGTAGCATCAGTGTCTTCAAGAAAAGGACAAAAGTTTTCCTTAAATAAGTAGCAAGACTTGAAGAGAGGTGGATGGAAAAGAGGGAATGGGAAAGAGAATTGAAGACTATTGGTGATAATAACTATGAGAAAGAAGAAAAGGAGCTTAATGTGGTATAGAGAGCATCAGAGAGAAGGTGGTGGGAAAGAGATACGGGTTAGATAGCTCTCTATCCTCCATGAAGACCCTTTCTGCATGAGGCAGCTGCTTTTTTGCTCTTTGGGGCTTTCTCTTTTATGAGGAAAAGGAAAAATGTATGTATGTAACTAGCTAATAATGTCACTAGGGAATGTGTAATTCAGATGTTCATAACTTAAAAACAGTACTAAATATGCTTTCATGCCCTTGAGGAATATCTGCTGTCTGACAATACTGACGTAGAAGGCATATTTAACATTTTCATACATGTTTGTCCTATTCATTTTGTGTATCTGTCTCTGTTAGAATCTGAAAAGTAGAGATGATCGGATCCAAATGTGCTGCTAAATTAATTATCATCAATACTTTGCAAATAAAAATAACAAATATTAATTATAATTATTTTTCTTGAGGGGGTCTGGTCTAAGACTTACCATTTTGTAACTTTCAATTTGTGTTTCTCTTACTAAGTTTCATAGGAGAATTTATAAAGGAATTCCACTTCAGCTCAGAGGTGAAGTCTGGGCTCTACTTCTGGAGATACCTAAAATGAAAGAAGAAACAAGAGGTCTTTATAGTGTGAGTGTCTAAAGCCTATCTATTATTTTGAAATTAAAAAGAAAATTCCAGTTTTTATTTTTAGCTTTTGAGATGATATAAAAACATTCACATCTTTATTTACAATTATATTAAAATTATATCAGATTTTATAGATCTATTATCTGTTCTCTTGATTGTTTCATTTTTTGCAATCTACTTAAATTTTAAGCACATACATGCATAGTGAAAATAATATTTTCTCTATCTATCAGTACTTACCTAGCATTTTTTCAATACTTGCAATGATTGATAAATGTTGGGGCATATTCAGAAGGAAACAGACTTAACACCTAATTGTAGCTGCTTGCTTACAATGTAGTATTAATGAAATCACTTCTCAAGTTTATATGGGAATAACAGTGGATGCAATTTAAAAATAGTTGCCTGTGTATGATTGTTTTTTTTACTTGTAAAAAAAAACCCAGAATATTCCCCAAAGTCTCTAGACTTTCTTATAACTTTAGACTTTGTTATAACTTTTGCCTAAAATTAGCAAATACATTGAATATTTGTCCTGTTATCTTTTTTAAACCTAAATTTTATACATATTCTTTTAAAGGACCTTATACCTAAATATCATTTTGAAATGGCCCTCAGAATAATCTGCATAAATAGAATTAAAATAGAATAAGTGAAATAAAGAAAATGATCATCCAAAGCCAATACTAATTATAAAAAGGGGCTTTGGAATGCTCTTTTGATACTTTCTCTTTATATACAAGTAAACTTGTATATATCAAAGATGGAAGGTAATAAATACTGATTAATTTTGAACAGTTGCTCATTTTTTAATGCATGAAAGATTTAAGATTAGCTATTCAGATCCTACATAGACTGTGAGTTTATATGTCTCAGAATTTTAGTGTTTAAAGTTATTTTGGATTGTTAATTATATATTTGCCTTTTAGAATAAAACTTGTAGAGCCACTGTTGAAATGTCTGAGAGAACATACATAAAATTGAAGCTAGCACCTGGTATACAGTGAGCTTGGCATGCAATAGGTACATCATAAATATTTGCTTAAGTAGCCATGCTGAATCATTTTGGAGGCCAAATCCACAATGATATTGCTATTTTCAGTCTCAGTACTTTCTATTATATTTCTCACCCGCAGGTTTGTGGATTTATTAGATCTTATTTCTTTAAAATGTTTATTCTTGTATTATGTGATAATCATGGTCCTGAATCCATCCAATCTTTGAGATAACTGTAGAATCTGCTTCCCTCCTTCATTACATAAAAGTATGCTTAATTTTCTGCATTTTACACAGTAGCTTATAATGTTCTAGGACATAAATGGTCTTTTTGAACTTTTCATTTTTTAAAAATCTACTTAAATGGCCTTTCCTTTAATCTTGAGCTCTTTTTTTAATATTGGATTTTCTTGACCTCTTGTAAACTGATATACAGATGTATATACATGTTTTTCTCCCTTTCAATTAAATTTTATGTTAAAGCATATCTTAAACTTTTTCTTTCTGTGCTTCAGTGTCTCAAATCTTTTACCAAGAGGCCTATGGAATAATAATTGAAACCTCTTGTCATTTCCTATTTAGGAAAAACAAAAACTTTAGAAATATATAGAGATTATTTTCAAAGCTAATTTTTTGTTACGTTATCTGTACAACTTTTTATCAGAAATAACACACAACAGTGTTTTAGTGGTCATATGATTCTAATACTATAAATATCTACCTCTGTCTTCATATATCTTCCTCTGTCTTCATATATCTTATAAGTTCATGGTTTACAAAACTATAGAACATGGTTTACAAACTCATAGAAGCTGCCCTTCTGTGAACTCTCACTCTAAACACAAAATACACAAACTAAAAACACATCGTATATATATTCCAAATAACCTTCTTTCCACTTTTAACCTACAGCAGTAACTAACAAGGATATGTTTATATATATTTATTGGGATTGATTTTAGCAGTGGTGTATATATTACCTATATATGGTATATAGATATACCAATAATGTATATATAGACACATAATTATACTTACACATGATTTAAGTGTGAACTAATGTATATTTTATTTAATGTCTCTTTTGATGAAACAGGAAGATTATACAAACTCACCTAGCCCCTCTTAACCCTGAAATGTCACTGAATTGGTAGCAGAAAGTTTTTTTTTTTTTTTTAACAGTCAGACTTACAAGGCATAAGAAAATAAAAGAGATACAGAGGCCAATTTTTGAAAACCAGAATTTAGACAGACACTAAACTTGAGAAAGCTAACCTAGGCTGACAGTGAGAGACTGGAGAAACAACTTGATTTATGTCTCAGAATCTCCAGAACTTCGTAATTATCAACTCTGGTTACCTCTGAACATGGAGGTAAAGCTAAAAACACAAGTGGTGAAAGTCTACTATAGTAGCAGTTAGAGGTCTTAAGTCTCTAACCCTGAAACAAGACAGGAGGCTTGCCATTTAGAGAAGTTAGAACAAAAGCCCTCTGGACTGAAGAGTATAGACAGTGCTAGGAGTGGGATAAGGGGTAAGGACTGCTGTCATGAAAGCACAGTATCTTGAGTTGAGTATCTTGAATTTGGGGCATTCAACATTTTCCTTCACTCAGCTCTCAGAACCTATGTAGGCAGTAATTACCTTCCTGACAAGAAGATACCTTCTCTGGGGAACTAGCCAGTCTAAGAAAATAGACAAAGACACTGACTCCCAGGGAACTCCACTGACACTGCCTAGCCAGATCACTCCATAGTGAAGACACAGTTGGAAAGCCACCATGCACAAAGAGCTTTCCATCAGCTTTTTAGTGTTCTACTTTTAAGCATAAGCAGTCAGTGAGGTATCACTGCTTGTTGGAAAAAGGAGCTAACATGAAGACAAATGAAACAAAAGAAAAATAAAAACAATTTATAGAAACATAGAGCAAAGTGAAAACTCTAAAAAAATCACTTTATCTTCAGGGGGAGAAACCAAATATTATATCTATTAAACAATTATAATTGCTATAAAAAGGAATATTCAAGAACAACAAGGAGCTTTTTTATAAAGATATATATATATATGTAAATGGAAATAAAAGATTCCAGTGGAAGGGTTAAAAAGAATTTTCCAGAAGATAGATTATAGTCAATAAGATGGGAAATTATAGAGAAATTACAAGAAAACTAAATGACAGCCCAGGAAATTCCACACTGTAATGATAAGTCTTACAGAAAGAGAAAATGGAAATGGGGAAGGCGGGAAGAGGTATTTGATAAAGAAGTCATTAAAGAAAAATTCCCAGGACTGAGAGATGAGTATGAGTTTTAAAGATTGAAGAGACCCATAGAGTAAGTAAAAGTAGATTCAAACTAAACAGGAATGTGATTTTAGAACTTGGAGAAAGAAATTCCTACAACTTCTAGAGAATAAAAACAGGTTTCATATAAGCCAGAATTGCAAGGCAGCACTGGAAACTGGAAGACAGTGAAGTGCTTTTGGGCAAAAGTACTTTCCAACTTAGTATTCTCAAACAACCAAACAAGTAAGAAGGTAGAATTATCAGATATCAAAGTTTCAGAAAATGTGCTTTCCATGCACCATGTCATAGGAGCTACTGGAGAGTGTTTTTCCAGATAAGGGAATAAACCAAAAAAGCAGATGTGGGAGCCATGAGACTGGGAGAAGTAAAGCAAGAACTAGTGTACAGTGAGGGCACCTGCGTAATCCTAGGTGTGCAGCAGGCCCAGAGCTCAGCCAGCCAGACTAGAGCAGCCAGAGGCAGTGGGAGACACTGTCTGTAAGAGTGGAAATTTAAAACATAACCATTTGGTTTGAAACCACCAGAGGAGAATTATGCAATGTAAAGTAAGTCTGGGATTGAATTAATGAAGAGTATTAATGAATTAATATGATGAAGAGCAAGAAATAAGAACAAGAAATAGCTTCAAGGAAAATAAAAATGTGCCAAAAAGAAAAAAGAAACCATAGTAGATTGTGTGACTTGACTGTGAAGAGCTTTTATAGAGTCTTAGCAATGCAAACTCCAAAAAGTTCTTTGTACAAAATGAAAATCTATCTGTACTGATAGGATGGGAGGGAAAAGGGAGTGAGGAGAAGGGAGGAGGGGGAGTAGGTAGAAGAGAAACTTCATTATGTATTTTTTGTTTTGTTTTTACTTTTGAGCCATGAGAATGATTTTCCTAAACCAGAAAATTTTTAAATAAGAATTATTTTACTATATGACATAGACTTTTCAACAACTGATTTCCATAAATATGTGCTTTCTTCCTCTCTTTTTCCTCCAGAAATTAAAACACAGAGCACGGGGTTGTTCACCTGATATCAGACAAATAGACCTTGATGTCAACCGCACATTTAGGGATCATATTATGTTTAGAGACAGATATGGTGTTAAGTAAGTAAAGTTTAATAATATGAAATATAAATAACAAATAGTCTTTATCAAAATTTTTATTAACATAAAATGTGTTCAGAATGTCTTCTAGAGACAACAATTTTGGTTTAGGTCCTAATGGTGTAAGCTTTTGCAGAGCATTTGGTCTATGTTATGTGCAACTTAGGGTCTAATATAACTCAAACATTTAACTTTTGACATAGTAGGTGATATAAGATTGGTAAAGAATCATTTTATAATCTGTGAATTTATAATATGATAAATACTTATTAAAATCATAGAAAAGGTATTAGCGATAGTTACGAGAACCATGTCAGTGATCAATATATGTCTCTACTCTTGAACCAGTTATAAAGGAAACTAAGAAAATAGAAAAAAGACATGAGCAACAGTTTATGAGTGAAAGGCATAGTTTTGCTGACCTTTATGTCACTTAAGGTTCAACTAGAGAAACAGAAACCACTAAGAGATATAAACTAAATAAGAGATTTATTGTAAAGAACTGACATAGACATTTGTGGGAGCTGACTGTGCAAGTGTGAGATACTGAATGTAGGCCATGAAGAGAGGACAGGCTGGAACTCAGAGCATGAGCTGAAATTGTTTCCACAGGAGAAATTTCTTCCTAAGGGAAACTGAAGTTCTGTTTTATCTGCCTTTTAACTGAATGAGACCTATCCTGAATATCTGGGATCATCTCCCCTACTTAAAATCAACTAAAGGTGGTTTTTAATCTCATCTGCAAAATAGTCTCTTTACAGCAACAGCTAGATTAAGATTTGAATAACTGGAGTTTGTAGCATAGCCAAGTTGATCTATAATGTTGACCATTGCAATTCGTTACTGACTTAATTTCCAGATGAAGACAGTAACAGTCATACTTCCATTACAGTAAGACAACTGTTTTGCTATCACTAAAAATATGTTAACCTTTTCCTTACAAGCAGATGCAGTCTTTGGGGTGCTGTTCACTCTTCTGCTTTGATATTCTGTAACCTAAATACTGTGATAGAAGGTTAACTATTAACATATCTGGCTAGCATGTTAGATGATAAGGAAAAAGATATGTGTGTGTGTGTGTGTGTGTGTGTGTGTGTACATATTACTGTTGATACCAAAATAAGAAAAATATTAATTATATTCATTTCTGCCACTGGGCATGTGGTCATAGCTGGTTTCTAAATCTCTTTTACTATCCATTCTGTGTTCCCTGTGCCCTCAGCATATACCCCAGCTGTTTGTATTTCTTTACTTGGTAGAGTGACCTAAACCTTTGTTGTTGAAGGCGCAGTACATTAGTGGATGGTTGTCGTTTTCCACTAACTTTAACCACAGGGTTTGGGATTTAGAGACACCCCAAGCATTCTCTTGTATCAAATGACTCTAATGTTCATTGTACAGTAGCAACTCAGTTTACTCTTTGTAATAAGGATCAGTGTTTTCTAGCAAAATTGGTTACTTCCTTGCTGCCCAGCTTATTCAGAGGCAAAAGGAGCCCAGAGTTTGTAGGTGGCAGACTCAACTTACAGCTCAGTGGAATTACTCTTGTGTTTCCTAGTGCGAACACATTGGAACTAAGCTCTCTAGACGGAAGCAAACACTTAGCTAGAGGACACTAGGGATAAGGGTGGGTGGAACCATCTCATAGCTATACTTTGACTCTTGGACTCCTGCTCCTGCATCCTATCTGTGGGAAGGGACTGTGCATCGTAGTCTGACTTAAGAGTATGTGCGGCCTCCTGGAAGATACTGCCTCAACCCTGCAGGGTATTACACCTCACCTGGAATAATATTTCCAAAAAGTCTCCATTCCAGGAATAAGGGCGGTTTTATAGTGAGAATATAGTTCATTGAAACATAGTAATAAATTAAAGATATTGTTATGCCCTTTGTATTTTTTATATAGCTTTTCTATCAGAGTGAATGTTCTCTGTCCTCAAATTTAAGCTATATATTGTTTTAGCTGATCTTGGGATCATTTCTTTATTATAAATAGTATAATATCTGCATTATCTATGCACTTGCAATCTGTTCTTAAGTTTATAATTGAAAAATGTGAAATAACTAAATTGTGTTCAATGTAAATTTTGTTTTCTGTAGGCAACAATCTCTATTCCATGTTCTTGCTGCATATTCTATTTATAATACGGTAAGTTTGAGTGTGCCTGCCCACAGTTCTTAGAGTTTTACTCTGAGGACCTGGAGGAGGTCTTGGTACTCCTCTTCAGGCTGAGTTTCTCCATCTTAGAGCTAAAGGGTCTCTTTCAGCTCTGTGGATTTTTATAGGGGTCCTATGGCAACTGTGGGGTCTTAGAGCAGAACTGGTTTGGAAGTGAAAAAAACTACAGTATACCAATGAATCTCAGCCCCTTTTTCTCCAGATTATATTTTGATATGCTTTAAGCTATTTGTTTTGTTTTTACTTTAATCAAACTGGATTAGATCAGGATGTTGGTGGGTAGATTTTTATTTGATTCTTGCTAACTCTCATTGTCCCTGAAACCTTGTGTTTTAGTGTCAAATTTTGCCCATTTGATGAGATCAAAATAGGAAAATATGTGTACCTACCCACAAGTAGGCAAAAATTAAACCTTTTAGTAATAATACATGTTCTTAAGGCATTTATCACTCTGATAATTTTCGCCATGAGTATTCAGTGTTGAACCTCATTTAGATGTTCTGTTGGTGCTTATTGACTCAAGGAGGACAAGGTTTGAACCTTGGGGTATGTAATTTCTATTGTGATTATAGTCTAAGTTACAAAAATTTAACTCAAATTTAAAAAGCTTATTAAAGAAACTTCTCATAGAAATGAAGTTATAGTTGATCCTCATGGGAGTTGGCAGATTGCTCCCCAAACTGCTTTCTTTGCCTACTTAACAGTTTCTTCTTGGCCAAAATTGCATCCGTAGATTCTGTGCAATCTTTCTGTTCAAGTACATACCACCATGTATATAGTCTCTGTGGCTTTATTCAGATTTCCTAAAGAGAGTAACTGATTAGTCAGTGCATCCTATTGTTTGCCTTGGGACAGGTGTCCCCTTCTGGCGCATCAGCCCATGTGCATGGCATAGATATAAATCTTAGTCTACATTACAAGCAGGGAAGATGGGAAGAGTGTGCAGTTCTCAGAGAAAGTGGAGATACTATGTGCCTATCCCCAAAGTATCTATGTAAAGGTCCAAAAATCTAGAAGAGACAAAATGGCATATTGGGAATTGGAGGAGGAGAGAAATTTGTCAACAGATGGGCAAAGAAGAAGAATACTAAATTTAGAATCACAAATATAAAAGAAACAAAAGTTGTTGTGCCCCTTATTGAAAGTGTAATAGTACTGAATAGGGAACAATAGAAATATGTGTAGGTTTAGCTTTTCCAAACTTAAGCATTTGTGCTTGAACACGATTTTATTTTGTTATAAGACGTGGCTCAATGCAGAAAAGAGTATATTTTTCTGGAAAATTACCCAGTAATTTTTTTTTATTTTATAGATCAGTTTTTATTAGTACTTATATAGATATATAGACAATTTGATTTAAATCATCAATTTTTATGTCCTCGTTTACTTTTTAGGAGGTTGGATACTGTCAAGGAATGAGCCAGATCACAGCTTTGCTCCTTATGTATATGAATGAAGAAGATGCCTTCTGGGCCCTGGTCAAACTGTTCTCAGGCCCTAAACACGCCATGCATGGTAAGAAAGCCCCAGAGTTTATCACACAAGGCAGGGAGAATAAGGTAAATTAAAACAAAATACAAAAACTTCATGTACAGGGACTTGTTCAGTTTATATTTGTTGTAATTTCACATTTCATTTTTCTTTATTGAATTTTCTTGTTCATATTTCTTTATAAGGAATATGAACTTTATAAGAATATAAACTTTCTTGTTTATATTCTTTTGTGTTTACCATAAAATATATTGTTATCATTTAAGAATTCTTTCCTTAACTTGCCTTCAGTTAGCAGAAACAAATTGAAGTTTGGAGGAACTGAAGAATAACTATATTATTGGGAGAAATAAAAGATAGCTTGATCAAAACTATATAGTCCTGCAGTTATCATCTCAGTGAAAAATACCTATTATTGACTAGAAATTTTGATGTATACCCTGTCAACAGTTATTGAGAAATGACACTTAGTATTTGAGACAAAGGTACATAATAACTTAGTAATTTTGTATTTCATGTGTATATTTTAGTTCTTTCAACTGTAAAGTTTATTTCATTTTACTGAAGAGCTAATAATTTATTACATAAATTATTTTTATTATATAACTTATTACATAATCTCAAAACTTGACATAATTTTCACTTTCAAGTTAGGAGAATTTTTTTTTTTTTTTTTTAGAATCTTTTACTTATTTGTGAAGCATATGCAATAAGCTTTGTTTTAGAGAGTTTGGATTAAACCTGTCTTGGCTAAGTTAAGTAAAAGTTACTTCTGTCAGTAGAATGCAGAATTACTTTCTAAATGTTATACACGTGGTATTAAATTAAAAACAAATTTTAATGCTAATCACTGAGAATGGGTTATTAAGTTCTCTTTGTGAATATTTAAGCTTCATAAGGTGGGAAAACTGTTAAATGTTTAAAGTTATATTTTACACAGTTAAATAAAGTTAGATCTACAACAATATTTTAATACTACTAATATTTGCATTTATACTACAGGTAATCTTAGAGATACCACTTTCTAGGTCTACCTATGAAATTTTATAACTAAATTAGGTTATCTCAATTCTTTGCACTTCCTATATGAAAGTGGTATCATTTATAAACATACAGAATCAAAGTGGGACCTGAAGAAAAAAGACAAAATGCCCAAATCTCTAGGATATCACTGAAAAGTGAGATGTTATGTATCTTAAGATCTTTGAGCTAGTGTTCATTATTGAGGTCCTTTTTCAAAATCACACTCTGTCCTGAAATTCTTCCAGTCCACATTCTTGTCAGATTGATTGTAAAAACCATACAGACATAGATATAGATTTTTTAAAAAAGATTTATTTATTTATGTATACAAGAGCTGGGGTACAGGCTAGAGGTGCAGGGGCAGGAGTGAGAGGACTCACCAGAGTGGGGAACAGAACAGGAGGATTGACTGAAATACACTGTGGAGGGGAGCAGCAGGCGGATAGAGCGGTCTGCCATGGCATGAGCGTCAACTCCCTGACCAGGGATCAGTGGCTGTGGATAGCTTCATTGAGCTTTAACCCCTTGTGCCTCCAAAGAGGGCCATATGGAGATAGGTTTTTAAAAATAAAATCATTTCACTGGAAAATGTTAACCAAGGGAGGAATGGGATCTTTTTCTGGAAATTTTGCTCACATCTTAGAGAACTGAGAATTACTTAAGAAATTGTCCTTTCCAAAGATTATAATTTGATGTTTTTCAGTGGTATCTTCCTTAGCTCTTTGTGGAACATAGATTTACTTTATGAAAAATTGATGTTTTGTGGAAGAAATTTAACTCTAAAATCAAATAAGTTTGGGTAGCTGAATTAAAAAAAAGTTATTTCAATCTACAAAATTAACCTAGAAATCAGGAATATTCAGGAGGTGTATGTGATATAGAATGTTTCCCTTAGATTATTTTATATTTACCAAATTATTTCTACTGAGGTAATTTTGGTTTACAACACTGGATTTTTTAGGAGTAGATGTTCACACCTTTTCTAATATGTATTATCATACCACACCCACTACCAGAATACCAATAAATTACCACCAGCATAGACTATTTCCATACACCTTTCAAAGTTACATACATGCAAGTCAAAGTAGAAAGTACTGTTATTGAGAAATCATAAACCCATACTCTTTTTGTGTAGAATATCTGTAAAGAAACGTCATATAAAAAGAGATGTAAAGTTCTATGAGTTAAGTACACTGACAATAATAATTTGCTGTTTGTAATTGGTTACCTCTTAGAAATCTTCGAAATATTGATTATATTGTATAATCAGTTGAGATAAAACACAAGTGATGATGCAAGATGCATCAGACAGTATCTATATGCTCGACTTAATGCTAAATTAACTTGTGGGAGTGTTTAAAAAGTGATTAAAATGAAAATTTACTAATGAAATTGTTAGAATAAACTTGAAAAAGTATGCAAATGTTGTATATAATTTATTAATAGTAAAACAAAATAAGTATCAAGAAAATAATGTACTATGATATGGCCCAGTACTTGGCTTCAACTTTCATTTTTTCTTAGCTTATTTACCTTTTTTAATCAGAAATGTTATAAAAAATCTTTAGCAGACAAATACTAGATTAATATACAAGTTTCATTACTCAAAGCCTTTCCACAATTATTACCTTGAAGAGAAAAAAATACTTAGTAACTACTTGATACTTTGTTGTTGTTAGTTGAAAATGAAAGAAGCTATGTGTTAAAATGGGTGGTTTTGTTGGTATTACATGAAGTATTGTCTTTATGTTTGTATTCTAGGCTTTTTTGTTCATGGTTTTCCTAAACTCTTGAGGTTTCAAGAACATCATGAAAAAATACTGAATAAATTTCTGTCCAAGCTTAAACAACACTTGGTAGGTAGATGTGATAATGACTTATACTTGCTTATTGAGAGAACAAAGCTAGAAGAACTAAGTGCAGCCTTGGGCCCCAATCATTTTATTGATTTAATTTCACCTATTATGCAGTTATAATTTATACTTGTTTGAAAAACATTAAATTTGTGAAATTAAGAATTGATGAACTATCACAGCCTTAAATCAGACTTCTTTGAAGTTTGATATAAGTATATCTATGTATGTATGGAAACAATATAATTTTAAAGGTATATGATTTCTCAGTAATTTTGGAGGTTTTTTATTGCATAAAAATATGTTTAGGGTCATGTGAGCTATATATATACTTTATGGTAAAAGAGTGATTTAGTAAAGCAAAGATATTTCACTGCAAAATGTATTAAAGAAAATAAAAAATGTATTATAATCCTTGTATAAGAAGAATTTAATATTAGGTGATCAATAAAACTGAGGGAAGTAAAAGGAATATGGAGAAACGAAATAGAAATATTTCAGTTTGAAAAAGATCTGTTGCAAAATGATTGTATGTTTAGCTTTGATAGCTACCTCCCAATAGCAATACTAACTTTTAGTATTGTCTTGTCACGTTTTGTTTGCTACAATCCAGAAATTGTGAAGTCTTTGTTTTTTCAGGATACTCAAGAAATCTACACAAGTTTTTATACAATGAAATGGTTTTTTCAATGTTTCCTTGATCGTGTGAGTATTTATTTATAAAGCCCAATCATAAAATTATAAATACCAGATGAAGGCAAACTGTTTATCTTATTTCTGTTCTGTTTTTTGTTATAGACTCCCTTTACACTAAATCTCAGAATATGGGATATCTACATCTTTGAAGGAGAGAGAGTTCTCACTGCTATGTCTTATACAATCTTAAAATTACATAAAAGTAAGAACACATTTATAAAGATTTAAGAAAAATCTAGCTGTGTTGTGATTTCTGATTTCTCATTCCCTACCCAACTTCATTTCTTTTAGTAGTTAAGAAAATTCTTGAAATTTAGTGAACAAATAATCTTTTACTTGGTAATTTACTTTCATTGGGTCTTATGACTAAAGCTTAACTGTATTACAACTGTCTTTGATTTTCTCTGTATCAGTTTCATTTTCATGCTTAAACAGTAAAATGCAATGTATTGCTTTCACTAATAATATCCTTTTTTAGGTATTTATTTCCACTGAGATCCCTTATTCCTTTTCATCAATCTGAATCTCAGGTTTGTGATAGGAAGAGAGAGACCAAAGAACACAGGCATCTTGTTAAAAGGACTGGAGAAGACATTTTTCCATTACTGTTTCCTTCATCCAGGAAATACCAGCCAGCTCCAAGCTGTAGACCAGAGATGTATAACCTCCACCTCGATCTCTGTGACTGATTACTTTGTGGCCTCTGGGGCAAGTACAGTCCATGTATATAGTTTCCAAAATGCAACTCAAGGCTTTAAAAAGTCTTCAGTTGTAATAATTCAAGGATTCTATAAAATTGATCTACTATGCCTTATTTTAAAAATCAAGAAATAGTTTTTTCTTGAATGTGAAAAACTTCATCAGTTTCAATTATACTTAAAAATTATGTGACTACTTTTGTAATTGTGCAGAGAAGAAAATCATCAAAAGCTTTAGAATTTCATAAATTAGAATAGAATTTCATAGGCCCTCCCTGGTGGCACAATGGATAAGGACGCAACACTGCAAGCTAGCAGCAGCCGCTTCAGTGCAAGTTCAATCCCTGGCCCCAGAGATGATCCACATGGTGTGGCAGACCTCTTCTGACCAGCCTGCTGCTCTCCTTGGCAGTGTCCTTCGTCGATCTGCCTGTTCTGCTCCCATTCTGTCTCTGGTGAATCCTCTCACTGCCTCTGCACCTCTGGCGTGTACCCCAGTTCTGTATTGTATGCGTAAATAAATTAATGTTAAAAAAAAAAAACTCATTAAAAAAAGAATTTCATAAACTTCTTGTAATCTTGAATATAGTTTATTGGTATTTTCATTCTACTTAAGCTAATTAAGTACTTAGAGATATTTTGTAGTTTTTCTCCCTGCTGTGCCTTTAGCTTTGTTCTAAGTACATGTTAGGTACTTTAATAGAAAATTATTTGATTAGTTACTTGAAAAGCATGGACTTCAGGAGTACCAAATTGTCCAAACTTCAGATAGGAATGAAAACTCTCTTTAAAGTCATATTTGTATTGTTATAGTGAAAGAAAAGCACGCACAAGTGTTGTGTGCATCTCCCTTACCCCCAGAGTCTGTCCTATAACCACATGCTACTGCTCTTCTCTCCCTCTAATCCTCTGCTTCGTCTCTTTTCTTTCTTTCTGGATTATGAACTGACCAAGATATAGAATGTGTATGTTTCATAGACATGTCCTTACTGGTATAATATTTCCTTGAGTAAAAACATATATCTTCCATACCTTTCTTTCCCCTCTTAAATTATGTTTTAGATATGACTCTTTTTATTAAATTTATTTACTATATATGTTTTACATCCTTGTTCATTTTTAAATAATGGTTACCTCCCCTACCTCAGCTGTAATTTCCATAGAATGTCCTTACCCAGTTCACCCACACACCGTCACCGCCATCTCCCATGCTTCTCTCTCCCTCTTCCAGGCTCTTTCCCTCCCCCTCCCCTGCAGGATGTCTCTGGTTTATAACTGTCTATTTTTGTTTTGTCTTGTATTAGTATATTTTCCCCTGATGTCTTATTTGGTTCCCTTGTATTCCTCCTATAAGTGAAACCATCCAATGTTTTTTTCTATCCTTCTGACTGTGCCCTATAAAAAGAAATACTACATCAGAGAAGCATATATTATTTTTCAACCTATGGTAGCTATTAACACAGCATTTTAAATTTCTGTCATCCTTTCTAGAACATCTAATGAAACTGTCCATGGAAGAACTTGTTGAATTTCTTCAGGAGACCTTGGCAAAGGATTTTTTCTTTGAAGATGACTTTGTCATAGAGCAACTTCAGATTTCCATGGCAGAACTAAAAAGGGCAAAATTAGATCTTCCAGAACCTGGTAAGAAATATCTAAATATTTTGTATCTAAAATACAAATTAAGATTCAAAAACACTGTGCAATAGATGTGGGCCATTTCTCTTCAAAGCATTTTTATGTCGTGGTGAGGACATAATATAGATCAGTGTCTTACCTGCTGCTTATGACTTTATTCTTATTTTAAGAGAAAGCAAATAAACAGTAACTAAATCTGCCTCCCCAATAGAATAGCTAAATCTCTACTGAAATTTAGAAAATGCAGTTGACAAGGAATACTGTTCAATAGAAATAACTGTGGTGCTTTAAACTAGCATAACAATAAGCACTTTTTATTTTTATCACCTCAATTTGTGAAGCCATATGCAGTAACAGAGCAATTATACAGCCCGTTTTGTAGAAATAGTATTTGAATACTTATATATGAAACTACAGAATCATCAGATAGCTTTATTGACCGAGAGTTCAAGTATTCTGATTAATGATCTAGGGCTTTTTGCATTATATTGCAGTGCAGGTAATATATTTTATTCACTTATTTCAAAACATCTTCCAGTATCTCCTATTGGGTTTTCTGCTAGGTGTTGTGCAGGAGCTTTAATATCCCCATGCTTCTTCTTCTCCTGGTGTACGAAGAAAGACAAAATGTATGCAAATGATAGCAATGGAGTAGGTATGGGGTAATGTAGAAGCTGGACACAGGATAAGTGGCAATGTACCAGAGGAAGTGTTACAAGAACACCCCCCATGAGCTGAGAATAGTGGGCAGTGCCTCCCTGAACCCTCTGGCTCAGTGCTCACCTAGGCACCTCACCTCTGTTGCCCTGCTTTGGGTCCAGAGATGGAAAGGAAATAGGTCAGTATTTATGCCCTCAGATAAAGTTGGACCAAGCACTTCCCAGTCATTGTGATACATGCTTTGATATCTGCTTGGCTAGGAAGCAGAAATGCATAGATGTAACAAATATCTTTCCCCTTTGGTAAAAAGCAAGATATATTGATTTTAGTTATTTTATTGCCAAGGATCTGGTCAGAATTTTTCTGAGGTTTGTTTTTGGGTAATCAGGATTGACGAAAAAACAAACCATTGCAGCAAAATGGAGTATGGACATAGGCCTCATGAGGTCAGCCATCGCTTGTTCAGAATAATAATATCCATTTTCTACTAATTCTTTCCTGAAGCAGGGAATACATTTGGAACAGCAGTTACTAGCTACTTGCTACTCCAGCATTTATTTTTTAAGTGTCTTGCCTGCTTTTAAAAGAATAGAGTTTCAGGCAAATTTAGTAAAAGACGCATATAGAGAAAAAACATATATAAGAATAACTTAAATGTGAGAATAAAATGGAAGACTTGTTAATTGAATATGATGAATTACTATTAAACTAGTTGCTAATATTTATTGAATGCATACTTTTTTCCAAATGTGACATGCACTATCTCATTTAATTCCTGAAAATAATTCTAAGGAAAAGTACCCATCCTCACTCTATATTTGAAGATACTTGGTAGTAGTTGGTTGTAAAGTTACTTTACTAGGAAATACTAGAATGGGATGGAGATTAGAACAGAGGCATAAAGGGAAAGGAAAAATATGGCTATGTTTGCTCTGATCATATTTGCAACCAAGGTGGAATATAGTGAGTGATTCTGCACTTTCTTGGATAGTAATTTGTCTTTAATTTATATTTCAGCTACTGCATTTACTTGCTGGGCTTTCTTTTACTTGCTGGACCCTGCCCATTGTTCTCTTCTTTAAATTATTGTAAAATATATATGGAACATTAAGATAACTAAATAACATTGTAGTAAGAAATTTTTTTTTAAAGATTTATTTATTTATTCATACAGAACTGGGGTACAGGCCAGAGATGCGGAGGGTGAGAGGCTTCACCAGAGACAGAGTGGAGA